CCTCCGCCTCCGCCCCCGCCTCCGCAAGCCCCGCGATCTTCACCCCTTTCTGTTGGCTGAAAATCAGTGTGGACGGGCCTCTCTCCCTTCCTATATAGGTGGCATTGGGATTGTTATTAGAGATGAAAAGGGTGAACTTATTCTTTCGGCTGGGCTGCCAATGGAGCATTGGGATATCGCCAAGGTTGAACTTATAATTTTTTTTTTTATCAAACACTTTTTGGAGCCTTGGATGTATGAAGTCAAAAGGTATTATTTTCAAAAGTGACAACCGAAAAATCGTTTCCTCTTTTCAACTTTCCAAAACTGCCAATTTTTGGAAGCTGCAACCACAAGATGCAGTAGACCTCTCTTTTTTTACTTTGTTCAAGCAAATGCTTTTTCATCACATAGATAAAAGATAATAGTTGATTATACTTGTGCCCACAGGGCCATAGATGATAGCTTTTTTGTTAGGAATGTGGATAACACACACTTTCTTTTTCATTTTGTTCATTTTGATCGGGCCCATGTTTTGTCGAGTTAAGTCCCCTTTGCACTATTTTTTATATCTTTTATTTTATAGTAATGTAAATGCAATATTCGAAGAATAGGCTTCAGATTGCAACTGCTCTTCCAACCAAGAATTCTTTCTTTATTGTTGATGTGTTGAAGAAACTGATTACCTCTCCAATGCGATAGGATAATTTAGTTTGATTGGTAGTAATTGAAGGAACGGGTTTTCCTATGGCAATGCTGAGAAGATATGCTGTTTTTACTTGAGATGTATGCAATAAAGTAACTATTTTTGTCCATCGTTCTGATGGCCATTTGGAGTTGTAGAGTCCAAAATTTAAGTGCCAAAGTGTTTTTCTTTCAATAAAATTGATCCTGGTGTTATTTTTGGAATGATGAAGGATGGAAGTGTGATCGACCTGATCCATGACACTAACAATGGCAGCTACGGTGGAACTTTACCATTAGCGTCAAACTTGCTTCACTTTCCATTGTGTTATTAATCATATGTATTCCCATTAGCAGTTAATTAAAATTGTTTATTCATTTTTTTTTTGTTTTAAAAGCTGTCATTATTAGACTTCCATTAAAATTTCAGCCTGTATTACTGAAATTTTCTTTAGGTGAGGGAAATATACGGACTTGATGAAGGCATATCATTTCGAAATGTCACCTTCTGTTCTGAGAAGAGGCCAAAACCCTTATATCTTGGAACGGCTACTCAAATCGGTCAGATCTGTCATCATTCTTTAATTATTATGAATTAACCATTGATATTGTAGATTTTTCAAACTTCTTAACTCGAATATTTACCGCTCCATAGGGGTTATTCAAACTGAGGGGATACCTGGTTTGTTGAAAGTGTTGCTCCCATCAAACAGTTTCGGTCTTCCAGCCTTGTAAGTTGAGATTGTATCATTGTTTGATTTCACGCTTTGCATTGAAGTGAAATAAAACTTCTTTTTCCACGATGTAAAATAGGGAAGAAAAATTTTTCTTTCTGATTTTCTTTTTATTGCTGACCATTGTTTTTACTTGATCCTTTATTGGAACTTTTGGTAATTTATTTTGGACAGTATATTTTGAGTTCTGTGATTTGTCTTTGTTATAACAACTATATCAGTGAACAAATGAAGTAGATAAAATCTGTTTTGTCTTTTAAAATTTTGATGTTCATATCATATTTGAATTTCTTCTAAATAGTCCAGGTTTGATGGTTGATCAGCTTTGCACTAAGCTTCATTTGCTGACCAGCTTTTTGATTCATAATAATAATAGTTTTGTAAAGAAAAAACTCTTGTTTATTGATTAATGACTTGGGCTTATGTAGATCCTTTACATTCTCGCACAAAAGTCCCTAGACTTCTCTATATTCTCTATTACTCAATAGGACCCTAAACTAGATACAATCATCAACACTCCCTCTCAAGATGGGTAAAAGATATCCACTAAGCCCATCTTTTCACACAACCTAGTAATGAGCTAAGTCCCTTGGTGAGTCAATTAGTTACTTGCTCTCCAGTAGCTACATGACTTATCTCTAATAGTCCACCATTCAACTCTCCTTATTGAAGAACCTATCAACCTCCACATGCTTGGTTCTTTCGTGCTACACCGGGTTGTTGGCAATGCTGATTGCTGACTTGTTGTCCTACCAAAACTTCATTTGAGCTCCTTGGTCCACCTTGAGCTCTACCAATAGTACCCTGTATCCTATTTTAGTTTTATTTTCTCTATGTTATATTTCTTTCCTTGTTGAGTTATTTTATTTTTGTTAAGCTATATATTTTATAGTTAAGCTTGCCATATCCGTTTTTTATTATATAAAGAGAAGAGTTATAATTTTACAATTAAGAAATAAGAGGATATGATTTTCTCCGGTTCTTAAAAGATATTAAGCTAAAAATTCAAATTTATTTCTAGCTATTAATCCCCACCAAAAATGCCCCCTGCTACCTTCATATCATTATATTTTAATGATCGAAAAATTATGAAATCTTCCATTATAAAATTATACCTATCTTTAAGTAGTTACATACATTTATTTAAACATATTATTTATGGTCTATAATTTAATAATACATGATATAACTTTCTTTTTTAATTTCATTTATCATTGTGTTTTTGTCATGTTCCTCTAATTTTGAAACTTGAGATTATGTCTTTGATCGAATTAGTCATTGAGCTCGATTTACTTGAAACATTACCATTATTGTCTCTATGGTTAACCAGCTATCTTCATTTTCACCATCCAGACTTATATATCTTAGCCTTTTTTTCATGGTGTTATGAGCATTCAATGATGATTTTTTTTGAGTTTGAGCTATTTTATTTTACTAAATCGAGCTCAACTAGGAGTGCTTGGGGTTGACATACACATCCTTAGTTGAGGAATTCTTCCTTTTCTTGTTTTGTAGTTTAGGATCAATAATATGTAGCTGATTTATGGGGAAGTATTCTTTTATTTTTTGGAACTATCACATAATTTTGTGTTATATGAATAACAAAGATGTACCTATCAAATGAGATGATAAAATTAGTGCAAATAATTTGGATGAAAAGTTGTAGACGTACGTGGATAGAACTTCAGAAAAATTTATATAGCTTTAATATCTCACGCAATAATTAGCAAAGTGTATAACAAATGAGAACTCATTAAGCTCACCCTAATTAGTTGGAATACGGCCAATGATGATGATGATATTGATACAATTTTGGGGTCTCGAGTATTATCATAAAGATAACCGACTTTATTATACAACATGATTGAGGAGAGGTGTAATTTAGGGTCCATCAGTTTCTCTGTACCATATAGTAGTCATATAGTATTATGAACATAATTCGCCGACTAATTAGCTATTATCAGTCATCTGGTAAGTTTCTGGTGAGGAAAAACATGGAATGTGTGTTTCTGGACCGAGGTAGTAAGTTGTTGTGGGATTAAATATACGAACTTGCAATGCAAATTTGTGAAGATGTGCAATTAGGGATTATCCGGACTTAATCAGACCAGCTCAGATAAACCTTAAAACTTTTGACAACTTCTGTATCTCAAATCTCGTCCATATTATTTGGGTTTGTTGGCTTTGTCTGGTAATATTGGAATTATTTAGTTTCAAATAACAAATTGTCTGGGTCAGTCCAGTTGAGCCCTACTTTTAAGTCATTGTGCAAGTAACCAAGAACAGTACAATTTGAAATTTCTGTTGTTTTACTTCCATCCTGCTCTTTTCATCTCAGAAAATACATTAATCTTGAAATGATTATGTTATCTGTCCTCTATGATTTAATTTTTACTTGAGGCTACTTTACTAAATGTATTTTTTTTCTTTGTATTTTAAAATTATTGCCAAGTGCGTCAGGTTGATTTCCATTATAAGCACTATTGTTATTGAAGTTTTTCTTATATGTTCAAAATTTTCAATCTATTAACTTTTTGAACCTACATATTTTAGGTATATCAAAGATCTCCTCCTTAATCCTCCAACGTATGAGATTGCATCAGCAATTCAAGGTGAATTGTATTAAATTTATTTTTAAGATGAACCAAAAAAATTTCCAGCTCTTTATATTTCAAATATTAATTTTACCTGGCATGCATCATGTATGTTTATTAGCGATAAATGCAAGTGATGATTTACCTAAATGCGTCTTCCGTTGGTATCCTAGAGAAGTGTTCAAACAAAGTTTAATTTGTATGAGCAGCTTATCTAGAATTCAACTCATTGAAAGGTTCTTCCATGTAGTGTACCTTCAACTGAATTTTCTCATCTTCTACTACCATGCTGTAGAGGTACCAATTTTCATGTAGTTTATTTTACTTTCTTTTCGGATTTCTTTATTTTTTTCACATTCTACATCATGTTCATGGATATAGCAACTTTCCTGGATTTCTTGGTTAGTTTTAGGAATCCATGTTGCGTTTTTGATTTAATTCTTCTTCCGCAATTGCAAATTATCAAGGCTAATAGGTCTAAAATGAGTAGTTCCATGCAGCAAGGGATTAACTGTATCTAGGGTCTCGACATACTTTTTTTCCCTTACCCATCGGTTGTTTTTCTTTGATGGAGAGAGAGAGAGAGAGAGAGAGAGAGAGAGAGGCTTTCTTTTTGATCAATCAAATTTAGCAATGCATCACTCGAAAATTAAAGTCAATTGAGCAAGCTACTGGGACGGGATGCTAGGGATTTATCTTAACGGGATTATTAAGCTTTACATAAAACCACAACTCCATAATTGTCAGATCTCGTCTTATGCCTAATCGGGTGATTCTCATAAATCAGAATGTTCGCCCTCCTTGTGCGGTTCACTTCAGAAATGGGAGTTTTGAAGAGCTTAACCAGATTAGTGACCCGTTTATGGTCGAACTGGCTGGTCCAATCCAGGTTTTAAAACAATGCAGAAAATCAAAGCAGTCAGCTACTCCCTTTTGTTGCCAACTAAAAAATTCATTGAAATTTTTTGAGCTTACTAGCTACTATTCTTCTCTCTTTTTTTATAGTAAATGTGAATAAATTCATAATTTAAGTAAAAGAATAAGGGGAATTCCATAATGTCATCGTCACGACTCGACCAAATTAGCCAAAGCGAGAACAGACGGTTGGACGACGTGAATTAAATTTACTATATTCAATTGCTATTTAAGAGATGAATGAACCACTAATCAAAATAAATTAAAATAATATATTTAACTTTGCCTTATTATTGGTTGCCCGTGTATTCTATACACTTTTTCTCTTTTATCGCTCATATTTTAAATTACCTAATTAAATGAAGTATTAATTTAAAATAACAGTGAACTAAACAATGCCAGTGAATATTCATACTTTTAAATTACAGTAATACAAGAGAAAAAGAAGCAATACATGTTAATCAACTTTTTAAAAAATTAATAAAAATATTTGATGCTATTCAAAGAACTTTACTATATCAATAGCATGCGAATATCATTATATATCTGTATAACCGTCACAGGAGCACCGTCTAAAAATTTTGTCAATTAAAATAAATCAATATCAATATCCTTTTTTTCTTACGGGGACGAGTATTTTAATGTTCAAGGGGTGACTCCATAATAGTCAGTCATGCACATACAAACAGTCAACATAAACATATCATTCATGTATTCATCACATTAAATTTAGTATACTATATAAAACATACACCAAATGCATGAGATTAGATATCTACAAATATTCATAACAATATGACTGATAAGGAAAGAAAAATATTTCAATAAGAATAAAATATGTGCAACTATCATTAGTTGCAAAATTGTTGAGAAAAAATAAATTATTAATATAGATTAAAAGTACGAGTGCTCACCTCAATGATGCTTAATTTGATAGGATTTGCCTTGATGTTGGCTCTTTCAAAACAGAAATCTATCCTAATATTTATATTACAAAACTTTAAAATAAATTATTAAATTTATAAACCAGTAACATTACATTATGTAAGTATTAACTTTTCATTATTTACTTTATATGATCCTAATTTTATAGATAAACAGAAGCTAGAGTTCTGTTAGGGCTTACAATGGAGATTTCCTTCGCATTTGATTCTACCACTCGAAGGAGAGGGGTTCGCAACTTGTCTCCTTGGCTCCCGTCTGCGTTTGCGTCGGCATCGTCGGTCGCAGATTCTGCGCACCTGCTTCTGCGCTCGACATTTCTTTCTATTTGTTGTCTCCTTGGCTCCCATCTGCGTTTGCGTCGGCATCATCGGTCGCAGATTCTGCACACCTGCTTCTGCGCTCGACATTTCTTTCTATTTGTTTCGACCTTCTGCTTTGACGTTTCTTCGTTTCGACCGTCTGCGCCCGTGCTTCTTTCCGGCCTGACACCGTGCTTCCCGACACACTGTCGTTTTGTTCGCTTCTCGCTGCAGGTGATCACCGACACCTCCCCTTGCTCTGATGGCTATTCCTTCTTCTTTGGTTGAACCGAGAAAGGCCTCCTTTGCCCACGTCGTGGGTAACCCTCAGGTGGAGTCTGCGGTGGTATTCTCCTTATGCGGTGGTATTGTCGCGATGGTATAGATGATTGCCCTTTGGTTAAGAAGAGAAGTAGGAAAGGTCGAAAAACAATAGTTTTTTCTCTGACTAAAAAATTTCTACCATGACGAAAAAATTCAAGTTTGCTCTTATTGAAAAATTTCAGTGGGGGCACCCACCTATAGATGTTATCAGAAAGAG